TTTCCCTACCCCAACCCAACCTAAACCCCCCCATACCTCCTATCTATCACCTCCCCCCACTCCTTACCACCCCACCCCCCCCCCCCCCCCATTTTCCTAATTTTTCCTGGGGCCTCACATCCTCAAAACCTCAAAAGAGAGAAGAGGGAGGCATACGCCTATTATTTTACATTTATACCGCCATACCCTCCTCATTTAACTTGTTAAATTCTTCCCATCTGTTCCACCTTACATAATATCTCTCCATCTTATCTTCATTCATGTGGTAAAGCTTCTCCCATATTACATATTTGGTCCACCCGATCAACCCCATCCTCTACTTTCGGCACCTCCCATCTCCACCAAAACTTGGGTATCAAACCCTTTGCTGCATTCCAATAATACCATATACCAGATTTTTTTATATTTGTTAACTGCTAACTCTGTACTGTAAAAAAGGCAAGTCTCTGCATCTAATCTAATATCAACTTCAGTAATTTTCCGAATCAGGTGCACTATTTTCTCCCCAATACTCCTGTATTTTTAAACACACTCCCGCCATATGTGATACATAGTGCCTCTACCTCCACATCTCCGCCAACACATTGGTGAATTCTCTCCACTTAACCTATGTGCCACACTTGGTGTAATATACCATCTTACCAAACATTTATAATTCATTTCTATTTCTCGCATATTTACATTTTCATGAATTAATCTATACATTTTCTTCTGTTTTTCCTCATCTATTATTACACCCATGTCCCTTTCCCATTTCTCTATATACAGTGGCCTTATATCTTTGTCTATTTCAGTGAGAATCTTATATATATTTTAGCAATTCCGTGTTTCCTACAATCCTTTCTAGTTCTCAGGGGTTTTGGAAGCTTCCCTACGAAGTGTTTCAATTGATAGTAACGCCACTCATCCATTCTTGTGAAAACTTCTCCTTTTTCTTTTCCAAATCCTTAAGTGAACCCATTTCCTCCCCCACCATTATATCCCTTAATTGTGCACCCTCCTTCTTAATCCACTTTTCCTGTGATGCCCTCTTTACCCAGAGGAAAAAACTCTGTATCCCCTAGTGGCATTAGCAGTGAATTAAATTTTCATCTCTTCTGTCTGTGCAAAACATCCCAAACTCTTAAAACATTTAGTATACAAACTTGTGCTATCTACTAACCCACTATATTGTGTAGGCACCCATATGATCCTACTTAAATTAGTTCTGCTAAGTACATCTTCAATTTTAACCCAGCTTTTCCCCTTTGAGTTATGCGTCCAATCAAAAATTCTCGCCATTATTACTGAATTATAGTATCTTTTAAAGTCTGGGACTCCCAATCCACCCTTCTCTTTGTTTCTACATAATATTTAATAGCCTATTCTAGGTTTTTTATTCCTCCAAATATATCTTGTTTTCATTTTTTAAATTATTTTAAAATATACTTCCGGGAGCTTAATTGGTATCATTTGAAATTTATATAAGATTTTAGGAACAATTACCATTTTTATCAGATTTATACGCCCTATCCATGACGGTCTTCTATTTTTTTTTTTTTTTTTCCTCCTCCTAATTTCTTTAATTCCTCCTTAATCTCGTTTAACAATGGAATATAATTTAATTTATATAAATTCTTATAAGAGGCAGTTAGTTTTATTCCTAAATATTTTAGTTCTTTTTCTCTCCAGACGAAGGGAAATTCCTCTTGTATCTTATTTTTCTCTCTATTTGGAAGATTTATATTTAAGATCTCAGTTTTTTGTTGGATTAATTTTTAAGTTTGATAACTCTCCGTATTCTTTCAGTGTCTTCATTAAATTTGGCAGTGTTATCCTGGGTTCCCCACATAAAACAGCAGATCATCCGCATAAGCTGCCACCTTATGCTCTGTGTCTCCTATCCATATTCCCTTTATGTCTGTATTATTCCTTATTAAAGCAAAGATTCCAATGACAAAACATACAATAATGGGGACAGTGGGCATCCCTGTCTTGTTCCATTTAACATCCCAAGATATTCTGATAAATCCCCATTAACCATGATTGCTGCGGAGGGTACACTGTACAATGTCCTTATCCACTCTCTCATTCTAATTCCCAGCCCTAATACTTCCAAAGTGTCCATCATGTATCCCCAATCTACTCTATCAAATGCCTTCTCGGCATCAATCGAAAGCACCACCGCCGGGGTTTTTTCTTTTCTACTTTTCTGAATGAGGAGCAAAAATCTCAACCATTGTCTCTACCCTCTCTCCCGGAACAAAACCCACCTTGTCCATATGTATCCATTCAGGCATTAAATCTTTCAGCCTATTTGCTAGAACCTTTGCATATAATTTAGTATCTGTGTTCAATAATGAAATCGGTCTATAGCTTGAACATTGGGTGACATACTTTCCCTCCTTATGAATAAGAACTACATGTGCCTGTAGGGATTCTCTCCTAATTTCCATCTCTCCTCCCAGTGCATTTATGTATGTTTTCAATTTGGGTACTAATAGTTCTTTATATTTTTTATAATACCTCACAGTATATCCATCTGGCCCTGGACTTTTCCCAACCATGGTACTTTTTAATGCTAATTGTATTTCTTCCTGCGTTATTTCTGATTCTAGGGAATTCAATTGTATTTCACTTTATTTTGATAATCCTGCCTTTATTAAATATGTCCGTCTTTTTTCGATTTTCCCTATTCCATCATTATTTATAGGATTATGGGAGGTAATATTTTATAAATTACTATAATATTCCTAGAACACCCTGGCAATATCTTTGGTTGAATTAACCAATTCGCCTTGGGATCTCTTATTTTTTCTGTATAATTCCTAGCCTTTTTTTTTCCTCTGAGCCCTCGTTAAATTTTTTCAGGCCTATCTCCCCATCTATACCTCTCACTTATCATTTTATTAAAAACTTCTCTTTTTTTCTTCCATTTTCTTCTTATTTATTACCCTCTGCATTATCTTTTTTGTTATTCTACTTTTATGCAATTGTTCAAAAAGTTCAAAAAGTTCCTTGAGGAGCCCGTTAATTTTTTCTCTCCTTTCCCTTTTCTTTTTTGCCCCGATCGCAATAAGGGATTCCTCTAATGTAAGCCTTGTGAGCCTCCCATACTGTAGCCACTGACATGTCTCCTGTATCATGTTCCTCAAAAAATTGCTCTATTTCTTCCTTAATTTTTTGATCGGTCTCTTGTTCCAGGAGAAGTGTCTCATTAAACCTCCATACTGTTCCCTCTCTCAACTCCTTCCCCCATATTAATTTCATTGTAACAGGAGCATGATCCGATATTGACATTACTTAAATTTTACTTTGACCAAGGACTCTATAAGTCGATGTTCTAACCATATATAATCCAGTCTCGAATACATCTCATGTGCATGTGAGAAAAAAATATAGTCTCTCTCCTTCATATGTTTAATTCTCCATATGTCTACCAATTGTTATTCATATATCATCCTCTTCAATGATCTCAGAGACCTACTCTCCTCCCTCTGCACAGGAGAGGTTGTATCCATCTGTGAATCCATACAAAGATTAAAATCTCCTGCCACAATCAAACCACCTTTTTGAAATCCATCAATTTTTTCAAGACATTTTTCAAGAATATCTCCGGCTTCTTATTTGGACAATAAATATCAGCTACTGTACACTCTATTTCTTGTAATTTACTCTTTAGAAACAGAAATCTCCCTTCAGGGTCTGTCATTCTATCCTCCAACTCAAACCTTATATTTAGAGATGAGCGAATTATTCAAAAATTCGGTTCGGCTGATTTGCCGAATTCGCCGAATAAATTCGCTTCGAGCCGAATATATTCGCTGCGAATTTAACTTATAAAAAGGGTGTTTCTAGGCTTCAGAGAGCCTTTATATTAGTGCAGAACACTGTACCTTTAATTTAAATGCCCTTGGAGTCTGCTGGGGAAGAGAAATAATACTGTCAGTCAGTATGACATGCAGATGAGTGCCGTCGATCTTAGAATCACCGCACACTTCACTCATTTGGGCAGTCACGGGGCCAAAACCAGAGTGTGGAGCCACAATGTGGCGGTGGAGGCAGCAGCAATGGGAGGCCATACAGCACCCTATGACAAAATGGAACCCACCAGCAGTGTGTGAGGAGACCTGAAAGTGGCACATGGCAGAGTGTGGTGATGGAGACAGCAGCAATGGGAGGCCCGTACAGGGACCCATGACACACTCTGGACCTGGCAGCAGCATGAGGAGTCGGTACAGGGGCCCATGACAGATTACGGGCCTGGCAGCAGCATGAGGAGTCGGTACGGGGGCCCATGGCAGATTACGGGCCTGGCAGCAGCATGAGGAGGCGGTACAGGGGCCCATGGCAGAGTGGCGGAGCGTAAGCAGCTAAAATTGAAGGCCATACAGAGGCCTATGTTAAAAAGTCCCCCAGCAGCAGCGTGGGGAGACGACTATCAAGAGTCCAATGGCAGAGTGGCGGAGCAGAAGCAGCTTCAATTGAAGGCCATACACAGGCCTAGGTTTAAAAGTCCCTCACAGTTAATTCCAATAACGAACTCTACTCCTCCGTGCAAACTACTTACGAGACCCTGGGCAGGTCTGGGTCCAATTTGTGGTAGAGACTGGTTTTGTTCAGCCATGCTTGAGCGAGTAATAACAGGTCTGTGCTGCCCTTTGGTGTCTGGCTTAATGCGCACAACACTGAACGTCCCAGCGTTTGTCAACGATTTGCCGTTAAGTGATGCAAACCCGCTGAACCACGTTCATGAGGAGCCGGTACAGGGGGCCATGAATCAGTATGGACCTGGCAGCAGCGTGAGCAGACGACAGAAGCACATGGCGCAGGGTGGCGGTGTAGGCAGCATTATTCTGAAGCCATACACAGGCCTAGGTTAAAAAGCGGAAGCCGTCAGCAGCGTGTGAGCAGATGACAGAGACACATGGCGCAGGGGTGGCGGTGGATGCAGCAGTATTCGGAAGCCAAACACAGGCCTCGGTTAAAAAGTGGAAGCCGTCAGCAGCGTGAGCAGACGACAGAGGCACATGGCGCAGGGTGGCGGTGGAGGCAGCGCGCAGCAATGGAAGGCCATACAGCACCCTATCACAAAATGGAACCCACCAACAGTGTAAGGAGACCTGAAAGTGGCACATGGCAGAGTCTGGCGATGTGAGGCCGTACAGGGACCCATGACACACTCTGGACCTGGCAGCAGCAAGAGGAGGCGGTACAGGGGCCTATGGCAGAGTGGCGAAGCATAAGCAGCTTAAATTGAAGGCCATACAGAGGCCTATGTTAAAAAGTCCCCCCAGCAGCAGTGTGGGGAGACGACTATCAAGAGTCCAATGGCAGAGTGGCGGAGCAGAAGCAGCTTCAATTGAAGGCCATACACAGGCCTAGGTTAAAAAGTCCCCCCAGCAGCAGCGTGGGGAGACGACTATCAAGAGTCCAATGGCAGAGTGGCGGAGCGGAAGCAGCTTCAATTGAAGGCCATACACAGGCCTAGGTTAAAAAGTCCCCCAGCAGCAGTGTGGGGAGACGACTATCAAGAGTCCAATGGCTGAGTGGCGATCCGGGAAGTCAGCGTTGTGATTGCAGATGCAATGCAGAAATTTTATGAGGTAATGCCGTGGGTGCGCGAAGAAGATCATATACCGTCGTACTTCCATCCATAAGACGGAACAACCTGCGAACCGGGAGCTTTATTGCCCTGACCCGCTGAGCAGCTTCTGGGATACCCAAGAGTTTGGCTTCTGTGGGGAATATGGTTGAAAACTGAAACTTAAAAAAACTCATGTTGACGGAAGGGGCACCAGTGTCAGTGCTCCGGAGGGAATATAGCTTCAAAGCTGACACTTAAAGGTATATCGACGGTCAGAGACCACAGGAAGTGGAGCTTGCGTCTTAAATCGACTGAATGTGGCAGACGTGAAACGTCTACGGGCCGTATATGAAACGGGTTGTTCCTCTTTCTGGAATAAGTGTTGGAAACGGCCACTCTTTTTGGTGTGGCGTTTTGTCTATTTAATTCCGATAACGGGACTCTACTCCTCCGTGCAATCTAGTTACGAGACCCTGGGCAGGTCTGGGTCCAATTTGTGGTAGAGACTGGTTTTGTTCAGCCATGCTTGAGCGAGTAATAACAGGTCTGTGCTGCCCTTTGGTGTCTGGCTTAATGCGCACAACACTGAACGTCCCAGCATTTGTCAACGATTTGCCGTTAAGTGATGCAAAACCCGCTGAACCACGTTCATGAGGAGCCGGTACAGGGGGCCATGAATCAGTATGGACCTGGCAGCAGTGTGAGGAGACCCAAAAGTGGCACATGGCGCAGGGTGGCGGTGGAGGCAGCAGTATTCAGAAGACATACACAGGACTAGTTTAAAAAGCGGAAGCCGTCAGCAGCGTGAGCAGACGACAGAGGCACATGGCGCAGGGTGGCGGTGGAGGCAGCAGTATTCGGAAGCCATACACAGGCCTAGGTTAAAAAGTGGAAGCCGTCAGCAGCGTGAGCAGACGACAGAGGCACATGGCGCAGGGTGGCGGTGGAGGCAGCAGTATTCGGAAGCCATACACAGGCCTAGGTTTAAAACTGGAACCCAGCAGCGTGTGAGCAGACGACAAAGACGCACATGGCAGAGGATGGATCTGGCAGCAGTATGAGAAGGCGGTACAGGGGCCCGTGGCACAGTGTGGTGATGGGGGCTACAGCAACTGGATGCCAGAAAGTGGCCGATAGGGCTATATACTGCATGGAATTATAAAGTTGTAAAGACAGCGGCCTATAAGGCTATACACACTATAACAATCATGACTTGATTGACCATTGGCCTATAAGGCTATACACAGCATGAATATCATGACTTATTCTGAGAGTGGTTTGGAAGGCTATATACAAAAAGTAATTCATGAGCTGTCCGGACAGCGGACAATAAGTACATATATACAAATCAATTCATCAGCTGTCCAGCCAGCGGCCTCAAAGGCCGACACATATAGAAAGCAATTCATGAGCTGTTCAGACAGCGGCCTCTAAGGCGACAGATATACAAAGCAATTCCCGAGGTGTTCAGGGAGCGGCCTGAACGGCTAGGTTATTACTAAATATATTTTTGTGGCCAAACATCGGCCTATAAATAGATGTCTACACAGTGACAAAAAATGATGTCACCAGACAGCGGCCCCTAAGGCGACAGATATACAAAGCAATTCCCGAGGTGTTCAGTGAGCGGCTTGAACGGCTAGGTTATTACTAAATATATCTTTCTGGCCAAACATCGGCCTATAAATAGATGTCTACGCTAGTGACAAAAAGTAGGTCGCCTTACAGCGGCGTATCCTACAAATTGACATTATAAGAAATGGTTTAGACCAAAAAAAAAACAAAAAACTTTGATGCGATGCTATACCTTAGTAGATTGTGGAAAGTCGACAAGTCAAGCGTAACTGTGTACATTACAGAAAATCTTAACAAGACAAACCAAACATGTGGCCAAACCGTGACCGATACAACAAGTTAACAATGTTAGAAACAGGAGGGGGCCAAACCGTGGCCAATAAATAAACAGTCCACCTCATTGATGAGATGGACAACACGTGTCAAATAAATATTTTAAAAAATTGCTATTCCATCGGTCTGGAACTGGTCGACTATAAATAATTAAAAAGTTTAAATTCATGTGACAGTCGTCCAGCGACGTATAAATAATTTAAAAACACCAATTCATGAGGGGCCCGACCAGCAGAGTATAAGTCATTAAAAAGGTTCAATTCATGTGTTACGGTCATCCAGCGAAGTATAAATAATTTAAAAACCCCAATTCATGAGGGGCCCGACCTGCAGAGTATAAGTCATTAAAAATGTGCAAAACATGAGTCGGCCGACCAGCAGCCTCTCAATAAAATATATATACAAATGTACGGGATCAGGTGGAGGTCTTCCATTTGTCCCTAATAACATGTTTGGGGCATGATTCATGGCGGATTTAGTCAGTTGTGTCAGGAACTGGTGGTTTGAAATCCAGACTAATCCACGCCTGATTCATTTTCACAAACGTGAGTCTCTCCACACTTTGGGTGGACAGTCGTGTCCTCCGCGGAGTTACAATACCTCCTGCCGCACTAAACACGCGCTCCGATGCCACGCTACTGGCCGGGCATGACAGCCTTTCAAGGGCAAATTCAGCTAGTTGGGGCCAAAGGTCAAGTTTCGTTGCCCAGTAGTCAAGGGGATTGTCTACCTCGGTTGGCAGGGTGCTGTCCAAGTAGGCCCAAGCCTGTTGTTTGAGGTCCTGCTCCAGGTCCACCTGATGCTGCTGCTGCTGCGGCTGGTTAGTAGTTTCCTCACTGCGCTGGTGAAGAAAGCTACTCATCATCGACTGCAGACTGAGGCAGCCGCTGCTGGTGGAGCTGCCACTGCTCCTACCACCCCACCCCTCCCCTGCTGCCATGGCAGCGGAACGCGAGCGCGCACAGGGCCCACAGTGTCTGAGGATGGACGTTGGCGCAGAAAGGCAGAGACCAACTGACTACATAGGTGGTTTTTATAGTACTTTATTTTGGCCTCCCTCTCAGCAGGTGTGAAAAAGGCCACCATTTTTGAACGGTAGCGAGGGTCCAACAAGGTGGACAGCCAAAAGTCATCCCTCTGTCTGATGGTTATTATTCGGCTGTCGCTACGCAAGCAACCGAGCATGCTATGGGCCATTTGTGCCAAGGAATGCGAGGGACTCCCTGCCTCCATCTCCACAGCATACTGCCACGGTGCATCTGGGTCCTCTGTCTCCTCCTCCTCCTCTACCAGATGCTCCTGCTCCTCCACTCCTGTCCGCTGAGTGGAAAAACCACCCATTTCACTCAATAATTCCTGAGCACCAATGTCCTCCTCTACCTCCTCCTCTTCTTCCTGTCCTGCCCCCACAGGGGTCATGTGGCGTTGAGATCTGTGCGCCACGTCTACCGCACCCTGACCAGCCATTGTTAACAGCATTTGTTCCAGGACGTGCAACAGAGGAATGACGTCGTTCATCCCATAGTCCTGCCGACTCACGAATAGCGTGGCCTCCTCAAAGGGCTGAGCAAGCGGCAGGTGTCACGCATGAGCTGCCAATGGCTGACATCTAAGTTACACAGGGGAGTACCTTTATCCGCTTGTAACATCAGGAAATCGTGATGGTGATGGCCTTTCGCTGTTCGTAAAGGGTGGTCTAACATATGTAGGGTTGAATTCCACCTTGTTGCAACGTCGCAGATCAGGCGATGCTGTGGAATTCCGTTCTGCCGCTGCAGCTCAAGGAGGGTGTGCTTTGCGGTGTAGGAATGGCTGAAATGCATGCAAAGTTTACGTGACATTTTAAGGATGTCTTGCAGTGGGATGGTGGATTTTAGGAACCGCTTGACAACCAGATTGAACACGTGAGCCATGCATGGCGCATGGCACAACCTTCCTTGACGCAGAGCAGACACCATGTTCTTTCCGTTGTCGGTCAACATGGTTCCGATTTTCAGTTTGCGCGGAGACAGCCATCTGTCGATTTCTCTGTTCATTACACTCAGAAGTTCCTCCCCTGTGTGACTACGTTCGCCAAGGCATACCAGGTGCAGCACAGCGTGACACCGTTGCGCCCTGCACATGTGATATGCCGGTCGGGTAATGGGACTTGGCACGGGGGTGGCGGCTGAGGACACGGCGGAAGAAGAGGTGGTAGAGGCGGACATCTTTGCTGGACCAAGGACGTGCAAACGTGGAGGCAAAAGCAGCGTGACCTGTCCAAGTTGCTGGTGCGGCTGTGCCGGCACCACGTTCACCCAGTGGGCCGTAAATGACATGTACTGTCCCTGACCGTAGTTACAGCTCCACACGTCGGCGCTGCCGTGCACTTTGGCAGAGACCGACATGCTCAAAGACTGGCCCACCATCTTCTACATGTGAATGCAGGGCTGGCACTGCCTTTTTGGCGAAGAAATGCCGGCTTGGCACTCTCCACCGCGGCTCGGCACAAGCCATCATTTCTCGGAAAGGTGCTGAGTCCACCACTTGGAAAGGGAGGGACTGCAGCACCAGCAACTTGGACAGGAGGACGTTCAGCTTCTGCACCGTCGGGTGCGTGCTCGCAAACTGTTGTCTCTTGGAAACGGATTCCAAGAAAGACTGCTGACGGAATCCGTGAAGAGGAGTAGCAGGAGAAGGAGCATCTGAACGAGCGGAAGATGCCAACGAGCGACAACTCCCCTCAGCAGAGGTGTTGGAGCCTTGACTGGCTGATAGAGGGCGATTGACGTCGGGTGACGGGAGCAAGTAACGGAGCGGGTGATGGAGCGGGGGCTGGGGCAGGCAGAACCGCCGTATCTTTATCACGGTTTTCCCAGGCCACCGAATGGCGACGCTGCATATGCTGACGCAACGCTGTAGTCCCAACATTGGCCCCCTGGCCACGCTTGACTTTCTGGCCACATAGTCGACATACGGCTACGTTTACTTCCTCGGGCGGCTTGACGAAAAATTGCCACACCGCCGAGTAGGAAACTTTGCCCCAGCTACTCCTCACTGGCTGACTGCTACTTCCTCCGTGCACTCCGGCACCACTACTGGCCGTGGTGTAGGCTGCAGTGGAGCTGGTGCTCTACTCCGTGGCCGTTTGGCTCCACTGACACTGCTGCGACCCTGCTGCCTCCTGGGCAACCCACCGACTGTTTTGCTCGCTGGCAAGCTGGCACCCTCTTCTCCTGATGATGCGGAAGCAATAGCCTGATGACGACTAGGCTGCCAAGTGCGATCAGCCTCATCATCATCAATTAGGGTCTCCGCGTCACTACTAGCCCCCTCGGCTGCTCTTTTGTGGGTCAGGACACAGACCTGTCTCTAGACCGGCTACCGAGCCACTCTCCTCGCCAGTACTTCTTCACTCTGGCTGCTGAAGAGGGGGATGTCTCCCCCCGTTCCTGACCGCCCTCTGTTAGCTCTTCCTCACTGTTGGCTGGAAACTGTACGTTTATGTCACTGGAATGCACTAATCACCCAAAAAAATATTACGCCACCCGGCGTGTATATGGATTTAACTCTTTGAACGTACAAATAGTGGTTGTGAAGCAGAAAGTCAGTTTATTGTACACAATCGGTCAATTGCAGCTTGCCGTTGGCTGGAAACTGTACGTTTAGGTCACTGGAATGCACTAATCACCAAAAAATATTACCGCCAGCCGGCGTGTAAATGGATTTAACTCTTTTGAACGTACAATAGTGGTGCAGCTTGAAGCAGAAAGTCAGTTTATTTAGCACAATCGGTCAATTGCAGCTTGCCGTTGGCTGGAAACTGTACGTTTATGTC